TGTGCCCCCTCCAATAATCTGTCTTAAAGTATTTTGTGTAAACAGTAGCTGCTAAAGGCTTCGCTGAGGTTACCTCTAATTTGCATTAATTTGTTCCATGTCCAAACTGGCAAGTGATGAAGAAAATGCCTGGGATGGCTGCTATGAGCCAGATTTCCTCAGGAATGCCTTACAGTTTATTAATATAAGGATAGAGGATTGAGGATTGAATTATAAATAATATGCATGTATAAATTATTGTTAGTTTGATATTTGAGTATACATCCATTAATAAAAATACTGTTGTTTGTATCAATTCTTATGTGATCACCTAAATCACCTAATGAGTTCTTACTTCTGGGACTAATTATTCTCTTTTCCAAGAAATGAGGATAATTGTTTATTTGGTAGCAAGGGATTCATTACTTTCAGGTCTCCAGAGAATTTCTGCTCCATCTGAAAGTTTGATCTCTTTGAATTCAAATTACAGAGACTCAGTTATTGAAGAAAAAGAAAAATTGAAGAGAGGAACAATATTTTCCCAAGATTTAGGATGGGAGATAGGTGATGGTAGATATGGTTTCCATGTTGGAGAAGTATATTTATGGAGGTAAAAGCACCTTGCCATCTTGAACTCTTGCCACTTAACTGTCTGCACTTGAGGAGACGGCAGTTTGTGAACTGATGTGTGGCTGTGAGACCTGAACCTGGCCTTCTGGGAATAGGGAATACTGGCAGGGGCTGAGGGATCACCATAATAAGTCTCATTAACCAGTGTCACTTAGAGTGTTCTCTGGAGGGTTCAATAGAAAACTTTTTAAAAAAATGATATTTACTTTTCTGTGATAATGAAAGCATTCAACAGGGAACTTACAATGGAAGAATCATATTTTTTCAAAAACCAGACTAATCACAGAGTCTCAAGAGAGTAAAACCCTGTGGTTTGTTGATAACTTGGCAACTGATTCAATCAAGATGGATCATGTTAATATATGTCTGTATTCATAGTCATGCACACATACACACTACATATATGCTTACTATTTAGAAAATATTCATATAGAACAAAAAGTTGCCAAAATAACAAAAAAGGTGTATCCTTCAACCAGCCTCTCTTAATGCTAGCATTTTATATGAATAGTACAGTTGTCAAAATAAGGAAGTTAAAGCACAGATCTCACATTTCATAAGCTTTTTCACTGACTTCACAGGATCCCTCCCTGCATTTGAATGACATGTCCTCTTAGTTTCTCTGCATCACAGTCTTTTCTTCTTTTATAACTTTGACACTCTTAAAAGCACCATGTTGTGGCCTAAGTTCATGTTTGTTGACTGACTGTTTTCTCATTGTTTGGTGATGACATGTATTTTTGGCAAGAATTCCACAGAAGGAATGGTGGGTTCTACTCGGGGGGTACCTGTTTTCCATACATGTTATTATTAATGATACTAACCTTTATTAGAAAAGATAGGTTTTGAGTTAGGAAATGGTGGGGGAAATTCACCACCATAAGAGCAATTTCTAGCCTTTTTTAGCCTGTGTGAGTGGTTGGCTGTTGCTTTGGGGAGTCTGTACACTCAGTGCAGTGGGGGGCTTTCCACCATGGGGTCTGGACTGAGCAAAACCCCCATGCCTTCTTCAGGGGTTCAGTGAGGTGGCTGGTCCAATGGAATATACTGGCTTTGGCTTTGTCAATTTTGCTCTCTAAATACATGGTTCTCAAACATTTTTGATCACGACTATAATAATAATAGCAGTAATTAGAATGATAAATGAACAAAATAAATGACATTGAGCCAAGAATAATACTGAACGTTACACTTAATTAGTTTTAGTCAATTCTCATGCCAGTCTTACAAGGTAGTTACAATTGTTATGTTCACAATTCTTAGATAAAGAGTTGAGAGCTATTGTGATCAAGAAATTTGCTCAAGATCACAAAGCTCTTGAGAAGCAGGGCCAAGATTCATGTCCAGGCTTCTGTCCTGAGTACAGGCCTACATCAGACACCATGCTGCCTCCAACCAACTGCAGGGCAATGAGACTAAATCATGTTGTGAAAGGACCCAGTCTATTTACATACTCACCACACACATTACACATTTATAGTATGTATACCACATACTATACACATACACCACACAAACCACATGCCATGTACACACCACCTCCCCCATATATCATAGACATATCAAATACTACACACGAGCTATACAGACCACACACACAAACCACACATTCTCACATATGGTCACACACACAGATACAAACAAACTCATATAGGTTAAGAGCTGTGCAGAATCACGTAAGTTAAGAGCTGTGCAGAATCTCTGCTGGCATGATGATCTGAAATTTTGTTTTGTTTTCCATTTCATTGTTAAAAGTATTGATTATGCTGACTACATGACTAGAAAGTGGGAAAATACTGCTTGCAATACCCACACTGTCTCCTCTGTGTATCAGCCTTATGCATAATTTTTCAGGAGCTGGACATACTTTGCTACAGACATTTCTGGGAAACTCTGTAATTATGAGTATAGAATATGGATTACGCTTTTTAGGTTTCCCCATGTAAATTTTGAGGATGATTGATTCAGCAATTTATCATCTCTATTGCTTACTAAGAAATGTGCACTCTAATTTGAAGTCATGAGAGAATGGTCTAAGATACTTTTAAAAGATACTTTTGAAGAAAAGTCCAACTCCTTGCAACCAAAGTCTTTATAATTTGTATTTTTATAGGAGATGATCAACAAAATGAAAACTTCTAAACTCTTTTTTAAAGATTATTTATGCATACAAGAACTGGGGTACAGGCCAGAGGTGCAGGGGGTGAGAGGATTCACCAGAGACAGTGGGGAACAGAATAGGCAGACTGAAATACACCACTGAGAGGAGCAGTGGCGAGTCAGTAGATGTCTGCTGCGCCATGTGGGTAGCTCCCTGGCCTGCAGGGAGATTGAACTCACACTGCAGAAGCTGTGGCTAGTTTCATAGTGCTGTGCTTAACCCCCTGTGCCACCAGGGAGATCCTATAAACTTCTAAACTCTTTGTGAGGAGTTTGCAGTTAGCATTTGACTCAGTAGGTGGGGAATGTCTAAGCCCTATTTACTCCAAAGAAGACCTTGCCTGCCTCCTGGGAGGCATCCTTTAAGTCCTTAAAATACACTGCCTGTTAAGGCGTCTTTGTTTATCTGGAGCTTGGGCTATCCCAGATTATTTATGGCAAAATGATTTCTGTTTTGGGCCTTGGGTCATGTGGTATCATCTTAAACTCTGAAGGGATTGGAAAGTAAGGCTGGCCACTCTGGCAGTTTATCATATCTCTGTGAATAACTCCCTGTAGAATTCCTGGACACCAAGGTTCAGGTGAACTTCCCTGCATGACGAGACTCTATCTGTGTCCCATATTGTTGCTGAGAGAACTAAGTGCTGTCTGCTATCCACATGACTTCACTGGGAGAGGATAACTAGAAGCCAGCTCCTTTTTTTTCCTGACCCTGTTTGTTTTACCTTGCAAACTCCCCCATTGTTATTCCTGTTCTATTAAAAATGAATCATTTGAAAGTAACTTGGTGATGGTTACCATACTGTGAGCACATCAGTGCAAGGAAGAGTTCAACTAGAAATTTGTTTTCTCTCTGTATTGTAGAAACTTAAGTTGAATATAGAACTCTGTATTCACTGCTTGAAATTTGTCTGAATTGCCTTGACTTCCTGCCATATCCAGGTGGCAAGTACCCTGTCCTCTCCAGCTTGACAGTGGAGATATGACCTGCATGCACCAGCAAGCATCAAGGTCAGCTTAGGAATCCAAATTTACAGAACAAAGGCCCGTGGCCCGGAGGGCAGGCAGCCTCGAAGGGGCTCCACTCCCACTTTGCAACTCAATCCACTCATCCTCACAGCTGGTTCTCCTACCAAGTCTTACATCCCCTGTTTACTTCTGTAGCCATTACACTTCCTGAACTGCAGACGGCTAGGCTGGCATGTCTGCTAGCCACCTTACACAGAGCAGGTCTCCCTGAACTCCTGATCTTTGCCTCCCCCAACGCTGATATCCTCCTTCCATAGCCATCTTCCTGGTTTTGACTAATGGCACCTTTAGAAATTCCAGTTGCTCAAGACAAAGCCTAGGAATTTAGGATGATCACTTTTGCAATCACAACAGCAAATTTCATCATCTCTACCTTCAAAATATATCTTGAAATCTAGTTCACAGCACCTCCACTACTACCTGGTCCCATCCACTCTCATCTGTCTGGATATCCCTGTAACTACCTCTTTCTTTCCCTGCATCTTCTGTGTGTGTGGTGGTGGTGTCCTGAGACCAGTGTCCAATGTGGTGTGAGGTAACTTCCTCACACAAACAAGCAATTCTTGAATATCAACAGGATGTTTGTGTCTGAGAATTCAACTAAATTCTGACGCTATCTTCCTGGAGATATGGTCAGGTTTCACAGGTTAAGATGTCAGCCACCCAAGACCATCTTCTACCTTGAATGCAAGATGCAGAACTAGGATACCACCTAGGGTTTGGACCAACCAGCTACAGATGAGAGGTCCCCAAGACCTCTCCCTTAGACTTCATGTGTTTGATGCAAGCCCAGATTATTATCTGTGCTACTAAATGACTGAGTGTAAATCAGACATTCCCAGGACTCCCTCCTTAGTTTCCATTCATTTGCTAGAATGGTATACAGAACACAGGAAACCCACTTACTCACTAGATTTATTACTAATTTATTACAAAGATAATAAAGGATGGAAGCCAGGTGGAAGAACGCATTGGACAAGGCATAGGGAAAAGATGCCGAGCTTCCATGCCCTTTCCAGGTGTGTCATTCTCTCCAACTCTCCACATGCTGACCTACCTAGGAGCGTGTCCACCTGGGCTTTTGTAGAGGTGTTACAGGATGTGTTCCCATGGCAGGAGGTGGAGCACTCCCAAGGGTCTGGGAATGAGTGCTATCTTCTCTACTCTCACTTATCCTCTGCCAGCAACTCAGGGGCCTTGGATTACAACTCCCAGCAGGCCATGAACTGGACTTTCTGAAGAGGGAAGGGCTGCTGCTGGGAAGGAGGAAAGAAGGAGGTGGCCATTAGTGTGAAAGGGTAAGGAAATAAGGACACGTAGGCAGGCTGCTCCTGATTTTGCTCTTTGCAACTTTAA